CCCTGTGCTTTGCCAAGCTTGTTCCAAGTAGGTGCTTTAGACCACTGAGACATCTCACCAGCCCCAAAATTCATGTTTCTGAAGATACTGTCATTTGCAGATTGAGATGGCCGCTGAATTCTCAGCAGTCTCATTCCATAACTGCTTGACCCTTTTCCCTTTCTCCCCACCTCTCCCTCCTATTCTTCCTCCCTCTCTCCATCTTTCTGCCTTACCCCTGCCAGTGCCTCCATATCTGGGACCTGGATGTGCGCGGCAACCACAAGGGCCTATGGAGATTATTTCGGAAGAAGAACCACTTCCTGGTGGTGGGGGTCCCAGCCTCTCCCTACTCGTGAGGACCTTTTGTTGTCCTGGGAGATGGGAGCTAGTGGGGCTAGGGATGTAGCCTAGGATCTATTCCCTGTGTGTAATTGTCCTGTATCTTCCAGAGTGAAGAAGCCACCATCCATCATCCCGATATACCTGGAGCCACCTCCAAAGGAGGAGGGAGCCCCAGGAGCTGCAGAACAGACATGAGACCTCCTTTGGAAGTCTGCAGGGCTGGGTACTGTGTACCCCCAGGCAGGCTAGCCCTTCACCCAATCCTGTAGGATTTTGTAGATGCTGGTAGGGGCCGGGGCTGGGACTGATTTGTTTTTAACATGAGACTTAATTACTAACTCTAAGGGGAAGGTTCCCCCTGCTCTATCACCCTGCTTTCTGAGTTTAAGATCTATTTATTTACTTCCATGTTGGAGAAGGGCAGGAGAATACCTAGGAATCTTTGGGATTCCTGGGCAGCAGATCGTGCCCCTTTTGTACACCCCCTCCTACAGCCCTGGCTCAGAATCTAATCTATTTATTGACTGTCTTGAGGGCCTTGGAAATAGGCCTAGCTGGAGGGCCTTGATTCCTTTCTGGGCTGGAATGCTGGCCTGAGGGTGGGGCTGGCTCTTACTCAGGAAACTGCTGTGCCCAACCCATGGACAGGCCCAGCTGGGACCCATGCGCTGACACAGACTCACTCAGAGACCCCTACACACTGGACCAGGCCTCCTTTCAGCCTCCTCTTTGTCCAGATTTCCAAAGCTGGATAAGGTGGTCATTGATTAAAAAAAAGGAGAAAATCTCTGGTGATGTGTCTCATGATTGTAAACTTCTGTGGGGAGCGGGATGGGAAGCAGGAGGGAGAGAATCATGATGGATGCTTTTTTCCTTTCTCAGGGGATTTTCCATTTGGGGCCATTTGGCCACCAGGGAATGCCCAAGTCTTAAGCTTCAGTTTTTCCCCCAGGCTCCACCCTAGCAAGGCTGATTTTAGCCCCACCCCAAGTTCCTTTTTGGGCTGGGCTGCTGCTGTGAGGGGTTGAACTCCAAGCCCACCCTATGAGGCTTCCTCACTGTTTAACTACTGGTAGGTCCTGTCTTGTCTGGACCGCAGATGGAGAGCAGGGGAGAACAGAAGGGCTCCTCAGCGGGGAGTGAGGATGGGAGAGCAGGTGAACATAGGGGTAGGAAGTGGCTGGGACAGTGTGTGCAGGCACTGGGTCTGTGGAGATGACTTTTGGCAAGGGGGTGGGGCTGAGCTGCAGGTGTAGGACTAAGGGTGTTTGTGGCCCTTGAGTCACTTTGTATGCAGAATGCCATATTTGGGCACTTTTTTTTTGTTTATCATTTTATATATTTGGTACAGGGTCTCACTACGCAGCTTGAACTCATAGTGATCCTCCTGTTTCCAGCCGCACACAGATTTGATCACCAGCTCAGTGTGCCCCAGGGGCAGGGCCAGTGCAGCATGCTGGACCTGGGATCCAACCCCCGTTCCTTGCCCTTGTCAAAGCAGGCACTTAGTTCACAGAGCTATTTCACCAGCCCTCTGGGCATTTTTCTAAAGCAGAGGTCCGGAGTTTTCATCAGCTCACATAGCCATAGATGCAAAAAAGCATAGGAATATCTGAGTTAAATATTGACCAGAAAGTGGAAGGGATTGTCCAGAGGTAAGACAGTCCAAGAAAGGAGACCATGAGATTGAAAGGCTATGTGGACTTAGAATCAGGATCTGAGTGTAGAATACCAGTTGAGAAAGGGTCTCTTGAGTACAGAGCTTTGGCTAGAAAGGCAAGAACTTACTAGAATTTCTGCCCCAATGTCTGTTCATTGTTTTTGCTATCCCAGCCGGTGCCTGGAGCTCAGCTTGGCAAAGGCATCAGTGGTGTATGGCTTGGATGTGTCTCACCTTACTGATGCCTTTGGTGTTTGTTGGCACTAGAGATAAGTGTTTGAGGTAGCAAAATACCCAAGTTGAAAATCAGCTTATGTTGAGGTGGAAGCCCGCCCTGGGCAAACAAATTCCTTGCAGCTTCCATACTCACATTTGGAGGGTAGTGTGTGAGGCACAGTGGTGGCAGGGCTGAAGTGGCCAGTTCGTCAACCTGCCTAGCCCCCTAGCTGGCTGTTTGACCTCAAAACTGGATCTCAGACTGGCCCTGACCAGGAAGACAGATACAGTGGCCCAAGAGGAGCAAGGAAGGGCCGGCCAAATAGCTCAGCAGATTATAGTGCCTGCAAGCAGGTACAGGGGCCAGCAGTTCTATCCCGGGGCTTGACGTGCGGTAGAGGATGCCATAGAGTGTGCTGACACTGCAATTGAGACTGGGTGTGGTGGTGCGCGTCTGTAATCCCAGCTCTTGGGAGGCTGTAAACAGGTGGATCACTACAAGTCTCATCTAGTAGTGAGACCCTGAAACACCCTGTAGACCCCTAAAATACAGGAAAAAAAAAAAAAAAGACTGGTTCACCAGGCTGGGCTTTGTCTGGAGCAGGTCATATGACTTCCTGCTATAGCCTTTCTCATTAGTCACTCCTAAGTGACTAGGTGGTTTGACAGTGTTTAGTTCTACCCCAGGGACATTCTGGTCAGGTACTCCTTTGAGTAGAACTGTCACAATGGCCAGGACTAAACCAGAATCTAGACTCAGTTGGGTCTCAATCTGGTCTTCTCTAAAGGGTTGAACTCTGGCAAATCGCTTGACTTTTCTGAGCCCTGGTTTCCTAATCTGAAACATAGCAATAATTAAGACAAAAGAGATTATTCTTTAGAGTACTGGACAGGCCAATGCCAAAGAATAATTCTAAGATCCTGGAAGTAGGGGCTTTGCGTAAGTTGTCAAGGGTAGGTACCACAAACCTTCTGATGGGGGCCCTTTCCTGTTGCTGATTCTGTTCTCCCTGACTCAGGCACAAGCTTGTTATTTTCATAGCTTTCTGGTCCAGTGCTCCCACCTAGGAGGGGGAATTTTCAAGCCAAAGTTTCCTCCATGCTCTTAGAAGGCTGGCTGTGCTAGCAATTACTTCCTTGGTGCCCTCTGGACCGCCCCTTCCTAGGCCTGCAAATCCCCATCCCCCTTCCCTTTGCCTGACTTCTAAGGGTTTTTTTTTTTTTTTTTTGTCACCAGCCCCACAGGAAATCCAAGGGCAGTTTAGGCAAGCTGAACCCCTCTCCCCATGGATACAGAGTCCAAATAGAAACTTTTTATTAGTTTATAAGATCTGAAGTGCTTTCTATACATCTGCCTTGTGGCTCTGCTGATTTTTGACTCTGCTCATGATATAAATTGCCTTTCTTTCATTTCCAGCAGAGTACTGGGATCATCAAGAGCCCCCCTTGGCCTAGTAGGGTGTCAGGGGTTGAAGAAACAAATGAAAGGATGGCCAGAAGAACTGGCTTCATTAGAGCTTCTGGATCGGGTGTGCCTCAACCCCACCAGTAGAAGGAAGAGTCAGGCACAGCCTAAATGGTTTGGTCGTTACTCAGCGCCAAGACAGGAGCAACAAGGACAGGTCCATTGCAGCCCAATGACACTGTGGGGTCTCATCCCCACCATGCTCATTGTTTCTCGGTCCAGGGTGCTTCTTCCCAGTTCCCATATGGCAGCAGTAGTGGCAGAGGCAGAAGCAGACTTATTTCAGATTGCAGTACAGATACAAGGATACAATCATGGCAGCGAGCTGCAGGGCAGAGAAAGATGAGGGGACATGATTGGAATCCTCTGGTGTTTTTTGTTTTGTTTTGTTTTGCGGAATCGGGTATTGAACTCAGACCCTTGTGCTTGCCAGGGAAGCACTTATTCCACTGAGCCATCTCCCCGACCCCCATCCTCTGGTTTGATGATAGAACATGTGCTTAGTATGTGCAAGGCCCTGAGTTCGATGCCTAGCACCAAAAAAGAAGTCTGTGTCATGGGCCAGGAAAATAGCTCAGAGGCATAAGCACCTGCCTAGCAAGAGCAAGGTCCTCAGTTCAACCTTGGTACCCCACCAAAAATAATTTTTTGGGGGAGAGGCTAGTTTAGGCTGCCTTAAGAGCCGGTCTGGTAGGGCTTGTGGAGCTGCAGATTGACCCGTGGTCCCCTGCACCTGACTATGTTTGCCCAACTGGTGCTTTAAATAACTGAGCTAAGGGGGCCAGGGAGATGGCTCAGTAGAATAAGCGCTTGCCCGGCAAGCTCAAGGGCCTGAGTTCAATCCCTTGTTCCACCAGGAGAAAAAAAAAAAAAAAAGGTCTGTTGGGGCTGGGGAGATGGTTCAATGGAATAAGCACTTTGCTGGCAAGCACAAAGGTCTGAGTTTAATCCCTGGTTCCGCACAAAAACAAAAACTGAGCTAATTGGCAAGCCCCCCCCCCCCAAAAAAAAAGTCTGTCCTCCCTAAAGGCCTCAGAGATGAGTCTAGAAGCCCAGGTATGGTGGCAATTGATACCCCTGTCTCAACCTTCCTGTTAGCTTACCTCCAAGGCCCCAATTCCAGCTGCCACACCACCCACTATGACTGCGTTGGCTCGGACGTTATGCACAAGTTGTTTGAAGCAACCCTTGGAAGGAGAGGAGACAACATTTATAGTGGGCAGCTGTCCTACCCTCATCTGCACACTCTTAAGGCCATTAAAGTGGTCCCCACCCTTTTATACCAGTTCACACCTGTATGCTATTCTGCTCAGCCATCTGTGTGTCACAGGAGATTGTGCTGTTGATGCAACAAAGTGGAGGGAAGGCTCCATGCTCTCTGAAGTAGGGTGACCCCTCAAAATCTGTGTAGTTATTGAAGCCACAGCACTTGAGCTGGAGACAGGTGGAATGAGTGGTCAGTAGGGCCTTGCTTCTTTTTCTCTACCCTCAAATCCCCCCAGCCCAACTTACCCCTTCCATGGTGGAGTTCCACACTTGGGTGAAGTCCTTCTTGGAGCCATAATCTTTTTTTATGGTAGACACTGCCAGTGTTGACAGGAATTCCTCAGCCTGGGTGGGGTAGGTCAGTGTTCAGGGACTGGTAGGCAAGGTGATCTTTCCCAGGCCACAGCCCACTTCCAGGCTTTGCCCAGTCTTCCCTCCTTGTCCCATCCCAGGCGCTCACCATTGTGGAATACACCAGAGCAACCACAGCAGCTGCAACTTCAGCAATGAAGATGATGAGGAGAATGAAGAAGAACTAAGTGGAAAATAGGGGTCTGGTTTTAGGGAAAGATGGTTTCCTAAGTTCTCCTTTCCCTAGCCCACCCACCCTCCCTACAAATGAGGCAGGGAGCCCCTTGGCTGAGACTCCTCAGAGTCCAACGCAGTGTTTTGGGATCCCCAGGGTTTGGTGTCAAAGGCAAGGGGACCCGTGGTCATGGGCCTGTGGAGCTGGGTCTGACACACCATCATGAGCGCACACTTGTTCTCAGAGAGAGCTCCATAGCAGCCCAGGAAACCGAGAACAAAGAGCACAGCACCAGCCGCGATGAGGAAGTAGCCCACGTTGACAAACTGCACAGCAGTGGACGACAGCGGCCCAAAGATCTTCACGAAGGATGGCCCATCAACTGACACCCAGATTCCCACAGCCAACAGGGCCGCACCACACAGCTGGGAACAGAGAAGTGAGGCAGGCTTTGAAATATTGCTGACCAGCCCCTCCCCGTCATCCACTTAACCCAGGAAGATGGGAACTAAGAAACTTCCTGTGCTCCTTGGCTGGGAAATTTAACAATGTGTTGCACAGGGAGGGAAATACACTTTAGTGTCAAAAGGATGACAGGACTGGGGAGATAGCTCAGTAGAGTAAGTGGCTGCCTGGCAAGTGCAGGGTCCTGAGTTCTATCCCTGGTACTGAAAAAAAAAAGAAAGAAAGAAAGAAAGAAAGAAAGAAAGAAAGAAAGAAAGAAAGAAAGAAAGAAAGAAAGAGAAAGAAAGAAGAAAGAAAGAAAGAAAGAAAGAGAAAGAAAGAAAGAAAGAAAGAAAGAAAGAAAGAAAGAAAGAAAGAAAGAAAGAAAAGAAGGATAACAGTTGGGATACTTCCAGCCAGCACTAGGCTCACACCTGACCAAATATGAGATCAGGGTTTTTAGAAATATCCTCAGGGTAGAAAGAAGGACAAGACTGTCCCTGGCTGTTGCCAGGATCCCAACACATGGCTGGGAGTAAAAATGGCAGGTGAAGCGCTAGCAGTGTGCCACTTCCTTTCTAGACTATAGCTGCCTAGAACACCTCTGTTCTCTGACAGGTAGAAATGGGTGGTGATTTTGAGCAGCACAAAATCACCATAATAACCAAGGCAGGGCTGAGGCATACACTTGCTGCCAACCTTGAAGAGGGCAGATGTTGAGAAGGTTTGCTCACCTTGAGCCCCAGCTGGCTCTGCTTTGAGAGCACATGCCAAGCCACCTGTTCCTCATCCGCCTAGACCTCCTTCCCTCACAAAAGGAAACTGAGGCAACAGTGGGAACACAGCTGGAGATGCTCTTAAATGTTCATGTGCTCAACTCTAATCCTCAGAGGGAATCCTGAAGTTCTGATGGGGCTAGGCTCTACCCAGTTTCCACAGCTCTTAGGGAAAGGCCCTGCTGACCCAGGGCTTCAGTGGATAAATCAGCCTAAAACCAACTTGGTGCCCAGTTTCCACTTTCCAGTTATAGAAACTCATGTTGGAATTGGGAGGATGGTAGGAGACTGTGGCTGGATCTCAGGTACATTGTTTGCCTAAGAACCAAAAGCTGGGCTTGTAGCTTGCAGGGTCAAATTTCAAGGAGGCTGCCATTTGCCCTGCCCTGCTCTGGAGAGCTTGGGTAGGCCTGGGCGACAGAGGCAAACAGGATTTGCCTTTAACCCCTTCAGGCCAGAGTCCTTGTCTGTTTATATTTCTGGAATCCCCTTGCTCCCTACAAACACATGAATAAAAGTTAGTTTCTTGCAGCCTAAGGAAGCCAAAAGTACAGATCACACTGGAGTAAGAGTGTACTCATCCTAGCCTGATCACCCCAAACCATACCCCAAATCAGTTTACATACCACATCCCTATTCCTCACCTTCTAATCACTAACTCACTGAATATGGCTCCAGTGTGCTAAACCCAGTGATCACTTCAAGGGTCTTATCTCCTGGATCTCTCTGCCATCTTGCTCCCCTTTTCCTTCTCCTTTGCTGCTCCTTTCCCATCTCCTTCATGGTAGTTGGTTTTTGTTGTTGTTAGTCCCTAATAATCTAAGTTTCCCAGATTTACCTTTCCCGAGTGCAGTCACACACTCCCATGGCCAGCTCCAATCTGAACTGCACCTCCACTAGTTAGCTGGCTGCCTGTGGGATACTCCTTACAACCCCGTGTTACACACGCCAGAGATATGGGAATCACCTTCAACACCTCTGGCTCCCTCATCCCTTCTTCTATCCCTCAGCCACCATCCTAGCACTTTGTCACTTGTATAGTTTGTCCCTTTCTCCTTATCTCTACCACTATCTCCAGGGTTAATGCCTCATTGGGTGCTTCTCAAACACACCCTATGCCGTCTGTTCCTGGTTTTCTGAACAATATCAAATTTCACTACCTCTAGATCTTTACACATGCTTTATAGCTTCCCCACCCAATGCAAATTCACAGCTTCAGGTATTTCCTCCAGGAAGTAGTCTCTGGCCAGGCAGGGTTTAAACCCCTCCTGTGGGCTCCCTTAACCCTCTGTTGAAATCAGCCATACTATATCACAATTGCTCTCTCTGCTTGGCTTTCTGGACCTGAGACCCTGGAAAGCAGAGAATGTCTTGCTTACCTGCTACCCCAGCACCTAACACAGGGTCCTAATCAATGGATGTTTCTGTTTTGAGGTTTGTAGGAACAGAATCTAGGGCTTTACAAATGTTAGGTAGGTCAGGTACATTCCCAGCCCCATCAATAAATGGATGTTGAATGAATAAGGGGTGCCTCAGGGGTGTCTGAGGCAGAGTCTTTGCTCTAATGAGACACAGGCCCTCTCTTTTGTTTTTTTTTCTTTCTTTCTTTCTTTCTTTCTTTCTTTCTTTCTTTCTTTCTTTCTTTCTTTCTTTCTTTTTTTTTTTTTACAGAACCGGGGATTGAACTCAGACCCTTGCGCTTGCCAGGAAAGTGCTTATTCTACTGAGATATCTCCCCTGCCTGGCCCTGTCTTTTCAACCCCTTTCATACAGAGGGCCACTAAATTGCCTTTACATACACTAGATGAACTTAAATAAGCCCTTTCCTGAAATACCTATAAAAAGGAGAATCATTCCTGTTAGCTGGTCCCTCCTTTAAGCCTGGACTAAAACTTCCCAGAAGGAAAGGAATGCCTGAACTAAAGCTTCTCAACTCCACTCCCCACTGTGGTAACCTCATTACTACTAGGACCAGAAATCAGCATTTGGGGAGACCGTTGAGTCCCACTCTGAGGGGAAACTTGAAGAGCACAATCTGGGCATAGTGGGCATCTATTCCTCAGCTCAGACTCTGTGCCTATAGGGAGCCCCACCGATAACACACTCTTTCTACTTACAAAGATGACCATGTTGAAGATGATCGTCACGGTCTTAATGAAGCTGAAGCACTGCATGATGGCTCCTGGGAGGCAGACCTGTGAGAGTTAGAGGCTTGGGTCTTCTGCCATATCTGGGCTGGCCTCACCAGGTCCCATATCCTGGACCCATATTTCACCAACTTTCCCTTACACCTAGACTCTGACACTGAAAGGCTTTCCTCAGTTTCCACCCTGACACTTGTATCCATGCTACTCTCAGACCCTCTACCTGCATCTGACTCTGAGATCCTAACACCCCAGTTCAGGCACGGGCAGCACAAGCCTTACTCCTATATTACAGATCCCTCCATGCCCTTTCCTGGCATCTGTACATCCTGGGCTCCTCCCCAGACCAGCTCCAGCAGGTCAGGACCCTCCCCATGGTCCTCCCAATTCCTCAGACCTTTTCCAGACCTTTATACCATTTCATAGGATACCCTGTCTTCAGTCATCACCTGCTCAGGGTTCTTGGCAGCAAGTTTGGAGAGGGATCTGCTGGGGCACAACAGCTCACAGGAGGTGCTGCTCCGGAGTCACGCAGAGGAGCCGGTTGGCACTGTACACCACTGCTCACCTGCAGGTGGGGAAGGCTCTTAAAGCCTCCTTCTGCCCGCCCCTGGGCCCCACCCATGGCAGGGCAGCCTCCCCTCGTCCCTGCTGCCCCCTGCTGCCTGAAGATGGATTCCTGCCATCACAGAGCAACAGGCCTGGGCCTGGAGATGTCACCTATAAGGTTTTGTCTTTCTGATCTGAAAGAGGAAAAGTGTGGGACTAAGGCAAGTGGTGCCCAGAACTTCCTTGTGTCCTTCACACACCAGTGCACATATGTTTCTCCCCTCCATCTGCTGCTACACTACAATTTATGGACCCTTCCTGCTCACCGGCACACACATCTGCCAGGCTGCCTTCCATGTTTACACATCACATACACAGTCCCATACATAAACATCTACTGGTGCTTCTGCTACTACTGATATGTACATGCGTGTATGCGCATGCACACACACACACAAACACACGCACACATGCACACACATTTTTCAAGAAAATATCCAGGGTTTGGCTGCTTTTGCTCTCTTCTGAGTAGTTAATGGTTTCTAGTCCTCTTCCTTCCACGAACCCCAGGTTTCCCCCTTTTTCTGCTCCCTTAGCCTTTTCTCCTCTTATTCCTCTCTACATTTTTCTCGCTTCCTTACCCCTCCACTCTTCCCCTACCACTCAAGGTACACCCCTTTCCTTTCTGCCAGCAGGGGGCACCATAGTTCCACAAAGGAGTTGCCCCAGTTCCGGAGCTTGGCGCTCTCCATTCCCACTAACCTGTGGGGGCCGCCTGACTTCCCAGGCTGCCACTGGTGAGAGGGGCCTTGGGAAAGTCCTGGCTGTAAACTTCTGTAGACAGGTCTCGAACTCTAGTTCTATAATTTCTTAGCTGTGTGCCTGTAGGAGGCATTTCTTCTTTTTTTTTCGGCAGAACCGGGAATTGAACTCAGGCCCTTGTGCTTGCCAGGGAAGCACTTATTCCACTAAGCCATCTCCCCGGCCCCTTTTTTTTTCTTATGGAAAAGTTTTTTATATTAATTTTATTAAGAAATATCATTGAAGGGCCCAGTAGAATAAAAGAAATATCACTGAGACAGTTTCAAAACAGGTTAGTAGGACAGTTACAATAATTAATACATTGCATATTGTTGTCTTTATAGTT